GCCATTTCAGCCAGGGTATCGTCTAGTATGCAGCGGTCCTAATCCACGTCAGTCTAAGACTTCAAACTGTTTTTAGTTACATTTTCTCACATTATACAACGGACTTTATTCACCATTCCGTACGGAAGAACGTTGATCAAGTCGGCCGGTAGGGTCCTACACAGCTCGCTAGAGAACCTAATTAGCACGTCCGCCGTCATCTTTAGTTGTGCTTTCGTTACATCTGCTCTATCGTGTTCGAATAGATCCTGCTTCCATACAAGGCCCCATGCAATTTGTGTACTAGGGCCGCCGAATTGCATCGTGGGGTTGACGTTGAAAATATTGCCGAGAATAGCCAAATTGTCGTTCGCGGACTTTTCAGTATCTAACTTGTGCTAAGCGACGTCTCTTCTACCGCCGGAATACTCTAGCACTGCACGAAACAGTGACAATTCGTGCATCGTTGTTCCCGGATTTTTAGCTAGCTGTTTCATCCGTTGCTCACCTAGTTCTTGAAAAATTTCTAGCCATACCTCTAAGCTTCTTCTAATTAGCTTAGGATAGCTATTCAAGTTGCCTACAAGACATATAAAAAGCAAACATAAGAAGAACTGCTTGCTAACTTTAGGAGTAGATTTCTAGAAATGTAGTGCGTTAGTCACCTAGCTATTATTTGTCTTTATACATAAGTAAGCAAAGCATCTTACTTGTATATCCCATATTAGAATCGCCCACTTAATCTACACAAGTAAAGACCTCTTCCAGGTATGCCTCTAATAATGTTAGTAACAATCCTAGGCATTATTAGACGAGAGAATATCTTTGATAGCATTGCAAATAATTCTAGCTTCACTCGTCTTTTTAGGAGGAGTCTCGAATGCGCCAGGTTTGCGGGTTTAGTAAATATAAGCTTAAACCTACACCTTTAGCATATGTATCTTACCTCTATTACGGTTTGTATACACAAATTCCTTTGGATACTACTATCGAGTAGACCCTCTATGTTTAGAGATGTCGAGCAAGTAACATGGCACAGACTAGATGGAGCGTCGTCATAATAGGGAGGAATGGAAATGTCCGTAGACGTGACTAATAAGGGCCGTCTGCCGAACGTCCCTAAGCGGGACAAATTCATTAGGATGAGTAGACTAGAGCTAGCGCAGTTGTAAGACCGTCTAGTAAGTGTGCATATGCTAGCGTGTTAGAGGAAGGCAGACAAGGCAACTAGATCTACCTCGAAGTGCAGCTCTGGCGGCAGGCCGCATATTTGTACCTGCGGACTTTTTTTTCGCATGGCCATGTCCGCCCATGCCGCGACGTCTTGCGCAAACAATTCACCTTTGTAAGTAGAGCAGCTTCTCCTATATAGAGCAGCTTACTACCTTAAGTAATGCCAAACGCTGGGTGTAATAAGGTGGACCCTTCTAGCGTGATTTGTATTAGTAGCATTATGGCCAGCCCGGCCATGCCAAATCGGGGTGTCCTAGCGTAGGACACCCCGATTTGTAAAAAAAGGAGCCCAAGCCGCTGGCTGTACGGAGTATCACAGTCCTGCTCTTCTTACTACTTAAGACTTAATATGCCTCTTATACGGCGCCAATTTGCATTCAAGGGTATAACAAAGGAATACGTCTTCTACTTAAAGAACCAGGTCTTTTTATTGTCTGCCTATAACACGTAACTGCAAAAAGATCTTGAACGATCGCGGGCAGCATAGTCGAAGGTGCTCAAGCCATTAAATTCGAACGATTCGTTAGACCTGCTGTTTCAGATAGAGACACCAGAGAGTCAAGCGATTGTCATCAAAGAATCTAGACCATCCACGTTAAAACCGCTATAGGAACCAGCAGCAAATGCTTTCTTATCTAAAACGCCAGCCAACGCATCGGAATGGTCCCAGGCGAAGTCTAATGCGCAACTGTCCACGCAAAGTCAGATCATTAGAGCTTTTTAAATCCTTACTCTTTATTCAGATTCGATCTTCTCTTCTCTTCCTTGCGCCGAATTTGCGCCGAAGTCGTCTGTGATCGTTCAAGGGTACAAACAACTTTAAGAAGCCCTTCAAAGGCATGCAGAGTATTCGGCTTGATTAAGCGAATATGCTATCCTGCTCTTCTTCTATATCTGCTGCGTGGCGAGAGAGAGTAGGATGACCGTTAAGGAAGTAGATAAGCACACGAAGGATTTCCTGCCCGATCGTGAACTAAGTTCCACGTATTCGGCGAGGCTCCGTCGCGTTGCCTAGCGTATGGCTTGTGCGATCGAAACGTTAGAAGACGAACTAGGGCATTTCGGTTCCCAGCTTTTTCTGCTTTAGGTTAGGGTTACAATAAACTCCATCGCTTCTGGCGTTAATTCAATATTAACGTAGGACGGATGGTGCTTGTGCTAAAAAGAAACATTCAAAGTAGAGTTGTTAAAGTCTACTAAAAACTTGAATCTGCTATTACATGTATATCTCTTCCTTTTCCGGCCATCTCGTTGTGCTTCTTGGATTTAACGGTCGAGTGCAGCATCCTAGGCATAGCGGAACCGAAAGGAGACTATACTAGCATTGCTGTATTTGCTTTTGTGCAGAAGCCTGTACCCGCCTATCTTCCAAAGCAGATCTGCTAGATCTGTGATCATAGTTTGATTTGTCTCTGAATCCGGATTAGAGTTGTCAAAAGACATAGGCAGATCAACAAGTCAAAAGGTATAGTCGGCAGAATAGTCAATAGAGTCCTCCTGCTTTGTATTAGTATATATTTACAGGTAAAACATTAACAAAACGTACATTATCCTGCTAGTCCTTAACCTTTGCAAGAAAGTCTTCCTAATCGGTAAAAGCCATAGCCTGTACACTAGCCTTTTTTTTCGTGCTATGCTTAAGGCAGGTTTTTTTCAAGCTGCCGCTTAAACTAGCACCAAATTCGGAAGCAGGAAGCTCTTTCCGGCACTTAGAGCAAAAGCTCACGCCCAAAGACGCAAGGCCAGGTAGCGCAATAGCAGGATCGTCTATAAAATAGTATTAGAGAGGCCCTAGTAAAGCAAGAAAAGGCTGTACTTACCATTAGACATTTTAGCATACTAGTAAAACGCAATTAGTGTGCGCCGGCGCTGTTATGCAGGGTAAATAAAGATGATTAAGGGGGGGGGGGCTAAAAAAAAAAAACAAGGGCGCGAACGCGCGATAAAAGTAAATAAAACAAAATATTTGTCAGAAATGTCACGTTTCTAGTAATATAATCGCAAATTTTTCGGCGCAATTAACAAACGATGGTAGACAGGTGTTAAATCACATGCGCGATTACCTTAACTAAGCGCGACCCACGGTATCATCACCAAGTCGAAAAGGCCTCACTTCTTGCCACCGTGGCACCACCAGGGCCAAGATAACAGACTCCTAGAATCTCTAAATGGCCTCTCTTTTCAAGTATATACGGAGGCTCTCCTAGCCTCTCTTCTAGATAGCTTTCTTCCTTCCTTTCTCTCAAGTTCAGATCAATTCAATCAATAGAGATATCCGCTCTGCCACTTGCACTAAACTTTTCAGCCCACGTAAGCGGCGTGAGACTTCAACAACAAGGTATGCGATGGAGCAGGGACCGCTAGTTTGGGAGCTGTGGCTCGCTATATACGCAATAAACGCTCAGCGGCCGTGGTCCGTGGCCGAATAAGATAATAATGTTATCGGTAGAGTGTACTGTCCAGTGACAGGGAGGTCTTAGAAATTCTCTTTATAATATGCACAGCGCTAATGCTGTCCACTCCTGCCCACAGATTCTTTAAAAAAAAAGTATGGAATAGCCACAATTTGTCTATAGCCACGACAAGAAAACTGGCAGTTTTCAGCTACAGAATATTAGCTGGTAGAAAACAAAACAAAAGCAGCCGGAGTTGGCCCGTTGCACAATCTGGGAGAAGAGTTTAGCACCGGCTTAGGTTCGTGCTCCACTAGAAATTCGACGCGGTATGGCACTATGCAAACGGGTGAAGATGGTGAAGATGGCGAAGACGATGAAGACAACGACAACTGCTACCATGAAAAAAGAGACGACAAGAATGAAGAGGCTAGAGGAAATGATGAAGACGAAGATGATGGACACGTATCCGCTCATGTTGGAATATTGCAGAAATCAGACGACGAGCAAAGCGAGCTCAACAATGTAGACAGACAGAAGCAGCGTCGTCGACCTAACAAGTGTAGATGACATTTATCCAACGACGTCTGTATACAACTTCTAGGAGACCTTGCATTTATGGATTTAGAACACATTTTCAAGAAGCGTTTGTTTTTTGGGCTGTAGGGCTCCTTTAAGAGAGCAACGTAGATATAGAAGAGTGCGCTGTTCCTTCTCTCTCTTTACAATCTTTCGGGATCCTGCGTCCTCCCACTTCATATTTAAGGTGCGTCCGTACCATTACTCATATCTAGCCTCAAAACCAGTCATGGCACCACGCAGACAAGTGTATACCTCCTTTGCCAAAGCTGTAAGCGCAGAAGCTGCGCCTCCATTACCCATAGACGTGAGAGCCTGACTGGCATAGATGGCAGCGTGAATCGTGATCTCTAAGGCCACCGCGAATTCTCGATCTACCTTTACATGGCTACCCTAGACTGTCACGAAGTAGCCTGAGTCTCAGAGGGCGCCTAGGAACTTGCCGAGATCGTCTGTGGCGAGCTGTTTCCCGACTCGAATATCCTAGAGGCCAATCTTGACATAGCCGAGGCGCGGAAGACGATCGTATATGGCTTGCAGATATGTCTTGCGGATCTTCCTAAATAACAAATTTGCCTCGGTTTTCCTCGCTAGCAGAATACTATTGTATTTGCCATCAGCCTTATGATTTACGGCAATAAATCGACTAATCTTCGCTTGCAGACGAGTGCGCTCCTCTATGACATTGCTCTGGACCTTGAGCTCGGCCTGACATAGGGCATAGGTGCAATCGAAGCCGTAGGACTTTAATATCGTCTGTCGCTTGCTAAGAGATTAATATAGGTGGACGTATTCTATAAAAATCTCTTTACCTGCCTAAACATTTTGCAGAGCGCGGACGACTATAATATCGCCGATAAAAGCGCGCGACACATTTAGGATACACAAGTGGTTTGCGTAGGATGCTTGCAACCAGATACCCGTGCTAGTCTCCTCTCCCTCGGTGGTCCCCTCATTGTCACCAGATTTCACCCTTGGGCAGCCGAATCTATTAAGCTCGGCGATAGACTCCACGCGGAATGTGTCCAGCGCAACCTTGCTATCGACGATTGTGATTTTCTTGCTATTGCCAAACGTGCTACTGTCGTGTAGGTTAAGATACCGATTGGCAAGCGTAGGGTTCCAGAGCAGCTTGTTGACTACACTATAGAGACGCAAGGCATGTGTGCTAATCGCTGCACGATTATTGTTAATGTTAAGGAGGAGCGCAATGTCCCTATCGCCTACTAAATGTGCTACGTGTAAGGCCTTCTCGACAAAGACTACGTTGCCTGGCTTAAGTGCTTTTGTGGCGAAGAGGCTACGGCCGCGGCTATTTGCTGGGGAAACTTGTGTATTTTTTAGGAAAGAGGCATGATTAAGCAGGTTGTGTTGCTTAGAGACTAACGCGGCTATAGCAGAAAAGTCATAGTCTCCGTTCTCCTGTTCCGCAAGGCGTCTCTTAGTTAGGCAAAGGTCTACCTTAACCTCCTTACGCTGTGTATCAATCTTAAGTGCCGCCTTAAAGTGGTTCTTCGCCTTGAAAAAGCTTCCCATCTTATACGTCGCTCTGCCTGCTCGATAGAGGGCCTTTATGTTAAAATCTTTTACCGCCTCGGAACTCGTCTCTGCCCTAGCCACCACAATACTAGCCAAAGCATCCACAATAGTCAGTTCGTAACGACCCAAACGCAGGCGAGTTGCGGCACGGTTTCGATGTAAAGCTCGAACAAGATCGTCGTCATCGGCGGCGACAAGATCGGCGGCTGCCAGGGCGTTAGAGTATAACTCGTCGGCCTTTTGCCAATTGCCTCTTTTAAATTCCGCATTGCCGCGCTCTTTCAGTTTTAGCGCTGACAGATCTAGCTCGGTTACCCGTGGGGCTAGTTCCGGGGGAACGAGCTGGCTCTCCAGTTTCAGCAGCACGAAGTCAGACGGGTGGTCCACGCGCACAAACAAGTCTCCATCAGCGGTGCGCTTGTAGTACGGCTCCTTGATGGCCGCAATCGCGCCTTGGGGGAGGACGTCATCTGGTGCAACAGTTGAGAGCAGATTGTAGATGGCGAGCCGGTCCACGTCGCCGAATTCGTCCTCGACGGCGTTTATGATAGACGTATAAACATTGGGTTTGCCAAAAGCTCTAACGATGAGAACGCGCCCGCGATGCTGCGTCTCGAGGGTGAGGTCGCGGAGGCGAATAGGTGTAAGGCTTGCAAGAGGCAGAGTATATGGTGGATACGCCTCGCCGATAAAGGTGGAACGGATCACGGAATTGCCGGGCATCTTGGAAGGGCGTGCCTGAAAGTGTGCAAAAAAGTGAGCAATCTTCCATTCTCTTTATACGGTCTTGCTTAGGAAAGACACCGTATAGTAAAGGAAAACTCGAGCTAGAGTTGCTATCGAGAACGCCTTATAGATGGTGGGGGGCTCTGCCCTTTGTGCGCTTTGGCCTCCTTTAGTGCGGTTTTTTGCTTCTGCAAAAGGTTAAAGTGCATTTTTATATACTTCTCTTCCTCCTCTATAATAACTGCAGTAAATGTTGGTGGGTTTAATGATGGCAAGCTTTGTAAGGTGACTAAGGACGCCTCTTAAACTGTATCGGAGCGAGAGCGATTTGCTTTTGCCGTAAAAAAAAGAAAAAGAAGAAGCAGGGACAGCAAGATAGTAAGGGGTAAACGCAGGCTTATCGCACTCTCTTGAATATCTATATAGAGTCGGTCTAATTGCACATATACACGTCTTATTGCTATGTAAGATTATTACGTGGCCTATTGCGTGCATCGTTTTGAAATATAAGACATTGCCATAGCAGCACATTGCGGTCTAACTAGCAGAAGCATGGTTATTAGGCTCTAACAGCTTGTACTTTGCCTTAACCTTTTAATAGCTAGTGCTATAATAACAGCTTTAATTCTTTGTCCTACCAAGAGGTCCTATACTTGTAGATTGGCTTAATTTACTAAGTACTTTTATAGCAATGATCATTTAGTAACGTTATTATTAGCGAGTAGGGCTACAGGAAGATCGGCAAGATAGGCTACTTGTATTTAGTCTCCGGCTTACGTTTCTAGTGTTAGTAAAAGCGGTGTATGTGCCCTCCACCTAATAAGGCTGCTTAATAAGAAAAGCTAATGACGTATAAGAATGTAAAGTACAATTCTATTAGAAGAAGAGAATCGATGCGTGTTAGATTTCTACGATTTAGATTCTAAGAGATAGCATTGGATAGGGTTTTAAGTCTTTAATCCGTACTAAATTCCCTACGTCCATTTCGGGGTGTAATTGTGGCAAACGTGCGTGTATCTTCCTTAGTGCTTAGGATTTAGATATTTTATGCTTTTAGAGAAAATAAGAACGTGATTATTTGCGGGCTAGTGGTGCAGAGAGCAGTACGTGGCACGGTTCCTACCAGAGCTAGTAGGGCGGATGCTATTACGCTTATATGCTTTAGGTGCTACCAGCGGAGCGGCTATTGCTTACGCAGTATAGGCTACCTTAACCGGCGGAGAAGGAATTGGTACTTGTGGCGAGACGGGAACTTTGAGGCATGGAATACCAACCGACTAAGCGCGATATTGTCGCGGGTGCTTTTAGCCGAGACGAGGGCGACGATAGGGTAATCCGTTACCGGCCGGTAGGGACTAACATCGGGCGGCTCTAGCACGGGCTGACGGAGTGGAGTTAAAGGACAAGGCGATACTTATTGCGCATAGAAAAGAACGGGAGAAGAGTTAACATTTAAAGCGTAATTGCCATCTTCCATCTTATACGCTAGGCATCTGTTAGCCCTGTATACAGGTTATTGTTACTAACCTTAAGGCAACACCGCGCATCTTCTATGATTATATAGGATTCCCTAGTTTAGATAATTTCCCCTTTTATAGCTTTAGGCCTATCTAAGTTATTCTAGGCCCTAAGCTTATTAACAAACTGCCTATTCTAAGTAATAGTTAAAACTAACGGTCATCCTCCTATAAGGCAATAGCCGGCTTAATTCCCTTTAAAGAGTAGATAGTTTTTCGAGGTACTATCATAGTTAACAAGTTTATTGTAGCAGTGCTCTCGGAAGTAGCAGAGGATGCATACGATTAATTCTCTTTCTGCTGTTGCTTACTTGTAAGAAAAATTTAGCGTTCAATCATAGTATCAATATACCAGTCTACTATTTGTAAAATCTAATCAGAAGCAGTTCTACTAAGAGAATTACTAAGAGTACGTGCTTAAGGTGTTTTATCGAAGGCCCATACTACTAGAATTGCCTTTCTTAGCTTGTTCGTAAGAGGTAACGGAATCTCGGCATGTCCGACATTTTAAGCGTACTGTAGCCACTTACTTAATTTATTTGGAAACGATAAAATACTTATCGCGCGGTGTAGATAAACAGCACCGCATAAGACTTCTGCTTTGCCTGAATATAACGCATCTTGTCTTATATGGAAGCATGCCTGGTCACGAGTGTACGAAACATTTCTATTTCTAGTAAATTCACCCTACACACACAACCAGAGTTATAGCCTAGCCTAGTTTCGTAAGATCGCATAACCAGACTAGTTTCTAACACAGAAAGGTACAAAAAAAAAGGCAAGAGGTGGCTAGGATTATTTCCTATTTTAATAATCATATAAGAGACCGCTTAATAGCCACCAAATTCCGCCATATCCGACAAAGGGTCGGCTATTTCCACACTTTCTTATTCTATTAAGCTATAAGTACTGCAGCTTTCTGCTTCCTTTACGCATGTATCCAGATTTGCACTTCATTTTCTAGCAACAATTTTAAACTTCATTTGCATGCCTTTACACCTTTCTATCACTATAAACTTACAATTCAAAGACTTTTATAATGCGGCTGCATACGAACGATCCAAAAAGAAGGGAAAAAGACTTAATTCTATCCTAGATCTAAAGCAAGGTAATTAGAAAGCCGGCCAGCAAGATAACTAGCAGGTCAGCCGGTCTCATGGCGATGCCTCCGCAACCACAATCAGCACGCGCCTTTCTGTCTAGAAACTAGATGAGTTTCTAGAAAACCTAGAGATTAATTCCTCAAATGGAGAGCTTTAGACAAATCTGGACGAACCAGTTTAATCTTAGCAACGTCTCCATGTCTTTTCTGGCAGCGTCGATAAAGGTATAGTATATGCACTGACAGCTAGGAAAAACTTGCTAAAACCTTTTAGACGGACAAGATAGTTCTAGGAACGAGAGCTCTATCTACGATATTAATACAGCGAATGAGGAGAATCACCCTTGTTCCAATACCAATTCTGCTTTAATCGACCATGACGAGCTCTCGGTGTACTCGTTAGAAGAAGGGGCCTGCATGTCCATCGGGCCTACGATCGATGGTTTTACGGACACACCTTTGTCGGATACTATAGACCAAATTAACTGTGAGGTCCCTGTCAGCGACAAGCAGACTGCGAATTATTGTACGTTGCCAATTAATACAAAGGATTAAGCGTTAACTTATTACAACCTGCTAATAAATATATACATAGATGCCTACAGCAAAGATAAAAACAAACTTTGCAAGCAATGGTCCATTCGAAGCATAGTCGGGCAAGAGATTAAGCATGGTAGATTGCATTATCTCCTTGATTGGATGCCAACATTGAAGCCTGCTAAAAACTTAAAAGGCGGTCTTAGCAAGGAAGACAGAGAGTTCTGCTATAAATAGCCTATCGAAGAGATACTTAGGAGAGTAACAAAAAACAGCAGGCTACATGTTCTTGTTAAGTGGACGCTAACCTAGGAGCATAAAAAGAACCTCCGCAGCGCTACTGAGCTTGTATTGGAGTGGAAGGCAAATACTCAACGTTGGAAGAAGAAAGAGCGGAAAAGCAGAACAACGAAGCGAGGAGGTATAAGTAAAGGTCTACGAAGTTAAAGATAGTAGATAGAATATCGACAGGTTTATGTTGTTTGATAGTGGACGCTGCGATATAATATACGTAAAAGAAATTGTATTAGTACATTATATGTAATGTAGTAATTACTATTAAATAAGAAACAACCGGTTCTTACAAGTGAATAAAGATGAAAGTAAAACCTTAAGCCATAACTAGCCCTAAACTGTATTTCTGTTTAGCTTGTTAGTAAGTCTCACCGCCGATTAAGCCAGAGCTAGTGTAATGTAGCCTCCGCGGAAATGTTGGTAAGTGTGACCCTAGGAGTGATAAAGGGATAGTTATATAAAAGATTGTTTTAGCAAAGTATCCTTATTTTCCTAAATGGTAGAAATACTGTGGTTATAAGTAGAGAAAGTATGTTAGAAGGGTGGCTATAATAGCGCCGGCCGTAGAGAATAGTACACGCAATAAAAAAAGTGCGGGAGTTAACTAGGGTTGGCTTAAAACAAACTGGTAGAGCCTATAGATGGAAGCCGGATAGGGCTTGTGATAATTAATACCCCTACGGGGCCCTATATAGGTAAAGTATACTCTACCGACCGTGTTTGCTGCTAATAATAATCGTGTCCTGCCCTTTAAGGGAGTGCGAGAAGCGCCCTTTATTAAAGCGAGTACTAAAACATAATACAGTAGTAGACAACGTATAGGCTTCTAACATGATTGTCCCCTTATCTGGAGGATAGCTTAACACAGATCTTCTTTATTCTCTTAAATAATTTCGCTGATTAGATTATGTCTGTGACCACAAACACAAGCACATGCACCTAAATAGTCAAAACTCTGCCGCATAGCTGCTGGCTGTTACACTGGAACGTCCTCGTCATCTGATGATGAATCGGACGAATCTGATAATAGGATTAAGTCCGTCACCCGAATCCGCGTGGGTATCTGTACATCTGCCTTTTCGACGGCGTTCTGGCTCTCTTGGATCTCTTGCTGTTTGTAACCTGGCCCTTCTCGCGGATCTTCTCTTGGTCTATTTTTATTAGCGTCGCCGTCTAGCAGTACTCGTGAGGTTAGGTTATATATATAAGGCTGTAGCGGCAGTTACGTAGAGAAAGGTACTGCTTCTGTAAAGTGGCATTGGATTTAGGCTGCGTTCTTTTATTTGCTACTTAAAAGAAAAACTAGGAGCTAAAAGGGGTCTTAATAGTAACAAAGAGGTCTAAGAAATATTAATAGTTGCAAGTCTAAAGAACATATCTAGATAAATAATAGAGAAGTACTTGATTAACTACCCTATTAGGTAATGTAATAGTATAGGAGACGGAGGGCAATATTTGGAAGTAAGAGCTAATTAAGCGATGGAAGGGTTAACCTATGTTAATAAAAAAACCTTTAGGGATATAGGCACAACGACAGGAAATACCTG